GCTGCCGCTCCTGCGACGGTACCGGCCCCAGCGACCCGCCCCGCTGCTCCAGCCGCCCCTGCTGGGTCCCGCCCGCCCAGGCCCCCCGGGGCAGCCCAGAATCCCCCTTCCTCCAGCCCGGCCTCGCAAGTCGGAGTTCCGCTCAGGAATGAAGGGGTGGGGTGCAGCTCAGCCGCAGAGCGCTTGCCTAGCATGCACGAGGCCCTGGGTTCGTTCCAAGCACTAAGAAGAGGGGCGGGGGCACCATGCTGTGTCCCAGGGCCCTGGAGCCAAAAGGTCGCCTCCGCAGGCTGCCTGTACCAGGGGAAGGAGTTTGCCAGTGGGGAGCGCTTCCCGTCGCCCAGCGCCGCGTGCCATGAGTGCCTCTGCTGGGAGGGCAGCGTCACCTGCGAGCCCAGGGCTTGCGCGCCTGCACAGTGCCCCTTCCCCGCCAGGGGCGCCTGCTGCCCCTCTTGTGATGGTAGGGGCCCGGGTCGGGATTGCGGGGCGGCGGCTCGAGCGGGCTGGGATGGAGATGTGATCCGAATCCTCTTTACTGTCCTGGAATGGATGAGGAAATTTTATGTATTTATTTTTTACAGTAAGAAAAGAAAGCTCTGGATTTAAAACTGTCTTTTCTACTGCTTTTGATGCTATTTATGTGACTTTGGGCAAATTACATAACCTCTTTGGGCTTAATTTTTAACTCCTATTTAAAAAGAAAAAGAAAGAATGGAACAGACCCAGTTCCCACATCTTTGGTATCTTGTATTATTTTAGCAATTATTGCTACACAAGTTCTACTAACAGAATTTTTATTTATTCAGTACTTTTCCTCAAATAAATTCATTTATTAATTTAAATTTATTTAGACAGGAGTTTTATATCACACAGGAAGTGGAAAATTAGACTTGCCAGGAATAGATTACTGTAAAAATGAATACAATTGAAGCTGGGTGCGGTGCCACACGCCTGTAATCCCAGCACTCAGGAGGCTGAGGCAAGAGGATTGTTGCGAGTTTGAGACCAGCCTGGGCTACAAAGTGAGCTCAGGGCCTGCCTGAACTACACAGCATGACCCTGTCTCAAAAAGACAAAGAAAGAAAAAAAAAGAAAAAGAAAAAGAAAAAAGAAAAAATACAATTGAAGCATAATATTGTGAAATTTTAGAGAGATACCTTTGCTTATTAGGGCTTTCTGACTCAACCTTTCTAGATTTTTTCTTTCTTCCTTCCTTTCTTCCTTCTTCCCTTCCCTTCCCTTCCCTTCCCTTCCCTTCCCTTCCCTTGCCCTTCCCTTCCCCCCTTCCTTCCTTCCTTCCTTTTTTGAGACAGGGTTTTGCTATGCAGTTCAGAATAGCCTTAAATTCATTATGTAACCCAGGCCACCTTTGAACTCATGGTGATCCTCCTGCCTCAGCCTCCCGAGTACTGGGGTTACAGGCATGTGCAGCTACACATGGCTCAACCTCTCTTTTAAAAACTATAACCAGAGGGCTTGAAGGGCATTGGAAAGGGCATCCCCCCCTGAGGCTGGGGAAATTGGTGCCTGGCAGGGGCTTGCTGAGTATTTAACCACAGGGACAGATCCTCGTAGGTTGTCTCCTAGGGATGGAGAGGATTTCTTGCAGGCTTCGGGGAGGAAGCTGGCTGGTGCCAGGTCTCCCAGGGTCTGGCCTGCCTGGGCAAGCCCAGAGCCGGTTGGTTTCCCTCCCATTCTTCCCCGCTTCCCTCCCTCCTCTTCCTCTTCCCTCCCCCACTTCCAAGCCTCTCTCCCTCCAGCCCACTCTCTCCATCTCACCTTGGCAGGCTGTGAATACCTGGGTGAGTCCTACCTGAACCACCAGGACTTCCCGGATCCCCAAGAACCCTGCAACATATGCACCTGCCTTGGAGGCTTCGTGACCTGCAGCCGCCGTCCCTGTGAGCCTCCAGGCTGCAGGCATGCCCTCACTCCACCGGGGCACTGCTGCCCAGTCTGCCAGGGTAGGGCCACACCTGCCCTTCTGTCCCCCTGCTGGGGCTGCCAAGGGCCCCCCTAGCCTCCAGGTCGGGAGCTTTGCCACCCAGCTAAGCCACACTAGTCCTCTACCGAGATAGACACACACGACCACACTCGTCCCCAGACTCCTGTGGCGCCGTACCATGCTCCGCTCTGTGTCACCTCACTCCAGACCGTCACACACAGCAAATAACTGTCCTTTGGTTTCCAACCCTTCCTGTTCTTTGATTGTTTCACTGCCTTCCTAAAATACCCCGTCACCCTACTCAAAACTGTCCCATTGCTCCCGAGTCATTAACCAGGAGGGACAGTGGCCTTAGCCCACCCTGCCTGGCCCAGCCCACCTAGCTGCGTGTCCAGTGTGCCTGTGTCATGCTGTCCTCTTCCCACTGGTAGGAAGTTCCCAGCCGCCTTCCATCCGCCTGCCCCGTCCCCTCTGCCTGTCCTCCAGCCTACGGGGATGCAAATGCTGCTCTCTGCGGCCTGGCTGATGCTGCCTTTATTTCCCACGCCTCACCCTCCCTGCCTGTCCCAGACACAACCATTTTACGTTACGCTTTGGGGCCATGGCCGTGTGTGACAGCGGAGGGGTCTGTCTATGGTGGCACTCATTGTGTTCCCCTCTCTGCCAGGATGTTTCTACCACGGGGTCATTGCTGCCCCCGGAGAGACCCTTCCTGACCCACTTGACCCCACCTGCTCCCTCTGCACCTGCCAGGTGAGGTGCTGCCTTCCGGACCTTGGTGCCCTTTCTCTCTGTATGCTGCTTTCCTGTTGGGGAGGGTGCTTCCGCCACCCACGTGACATCCTGGGGGACGGAGCTGGACTGAGATCTGGTCCAGGGGAGGGGGTTTGGGCCTGGCAGCTTCAGTAGCATGCCCGTCAAGGGACAGCAAGCATGGCCTGAGGGTGCATTGGAGGGATGTGGGGCAGAAGTGGCAGTGTGACCTCTCCCGGCCAGGAAGGCTCCGTGCGCTGCCAGAGGAGACCGTGCCCCCCAGCTCCCTGCCCGCACCCCTCTCCGGGACCTTGCTTCTGTCCTGTTTGCCACAGTGAGCTGCCTTCCACCTGCCCTAGCCTCATGCTGCGCCCCTTTCCTCCCTCCCTGCCCAGCTGAGGGTGGGCAGGGCAGGACAGGGTGGCACAGGTTTCCAGCAGGAAGTGTGTCCCCCACAGGCTGCCTTTTTAGGGGCCAGGAGCACCAGGATGGGCAGGAGTTTGAGGGGCCTGCAGGCAGCTGTGAGCAGTGTCGCTGTCAGGTACTGCAAGCAGCAGGAGGGAACGGGGTGAGGGCCCACGGTATTCCCCCCTCCCCGACTTCGGCAGCAAGCTGCTGGCCCGCATCTCCTGCAGGCTGGCCAGGTCAGCTGTGCACGGCGGCAGTGCCCACCCCTGCCGTGCCTGCTCCAGGTCACAGAGCCAGGGAGCTGCTGCCCTCGCTGCAGAGGTAGGCCTGGCCCTCGGGGCTGCCCGCACCCACACTCAGCCCACCCCTCCCTGCCCCACTCCCTGCCTGTCCACAGCCTCGCCCCGCATCAGTCCTGGATGCCATCCCAGCTGCTTCAGCTCTTCCACCCTCTCCCTGGCCTGGCTTGTTGGGCCACCCCTCCTTGGGCTGGTTAGAGTATTGGAAGCTGCTGCTGTTCCTATCCACACCCCCCATTCATAACTATAATCATCATGATTATTAGCATTCATCAAGCACATACCACAGGCCAGGCAAAGCACTTGCTCCTAGTATCTCATTCATCTGCATAACGGTGGATTTAACCCACACAACAGTCTTACCAGATAAGTGCTGGCATTACATCTTTAAAAACAGAACAAGAAAAACAGGGCTGGCGATACAGCTCAGCGCTTCCTGGGTTCAATTCCCAGTGCTAAAATAATAAATAAATAAATAGATAAATAACTGCTCAGACAAACAAGAATCAGAGTTAAAAAGAGGTAACCTAACTTGCCTTGGCTGGAGCCCTTCCGGCTGCAGAACATGAGCCTTTCTGAGCCTGTCTGCTGCCCCTCGCTCCATGTGCTGCCCGGTGCCACATAGTTAACACAGACCAGCCCAGTGTACCACTTGCCCTGTGAGGAAGGCAGGACAGATGCTGTTCATACTTACCAGAGCAGGGTGCTGCGGCTTCAAGAGATGAGGTTGCCTGGGGCACATGGTTAGGAGAGCCGTGCATTTATTATGCACCCGCTGCATGCCCATGTGTCCACGAGGGCTGCAGCAAACAGTACCTGCTGCACGCAGCTCGCTCTAGCAAGCAAGCAGACAGGACAGGGCAATCCCAGGTGCCGTGACCCTGCTACGTGCCTTTCCCCTCCACCACAGACAGGGCTTTGTCCCAGCGCCCCCCCCCCCCCCCCGCCTCCCTGCAGACCTCCACCCTCGTTCCCACACGTCCTGCCGACCACCTGTGGGCGGGGCAGTCTTCAGATCTCAGACTTGAAGCTTGCCCCTGCCCTGGACTGCAGGCTGCCTGGCTCATGGGGACGAGCACCCTGAAGGCAGTAGCTGGGTGCTCCCTGACAGCCCTTGCTCCTCCTGCGTGTGTCACGAGGGCGTCGTCACCTGTGCCCACATCCAGTGTGTCAGCTCCTGTGCCCAGCCTCACCAGGGGCCCAGTGACTGCTGCCCTCGATGCTCCGGTACTGGTGCTGGGACCCTAGAGTGGGGACGGGATGGGCTGGGGCCCAGACCTCCCACCTTGGTGGGGGTGAGCGGCAAAGGGGATGCTCCAAAAGTAGCCTCCATTCTGCAGTCTTTGGGGGGCTGAAGGGCAGAGGATCCCACCCCTTGGTATCGCTGCCAGCCTGAGATCTCCCTGGTGATGCTCTGCTCTTGCCCCACCCCAAGGCTGTGAGCACGAGGGCCGGAAGTATGAGGCCGGTGAAAGCTTCCAGCCCGGGGCAGACCCCTGTGAAGTATGCGTCTGCGAGGTAGGAGGCTGGGGCACCCCCAGGGAGGACCACAGCACGGCGAGGTCATGGCTTGGGGGGGCAGGCACCATGGGGTCTGAGGTGGTAGGCTGCCCCGAGTCAGGGCCGAGCAGGCTGGGCCCAGCAGGCCGGGGTGTCTTGTGTAGACACAGAGCCCAGGGCCTGAGTCGGGGAGCAGTGGGCAGCTCTTCTGGCTCCCTGTGGGGTGGGGTGGGGGTGAAGGAGCCAGCTGGAGCGCGCAGATGTCCTGGAAGACAGTGGTGAGCCGTGGAAGGGATCTGAGCAGGTGAATGATGCCAGAAGGTAGGCAGTGGAGATGGCCAGGGTGCGGGAGCGCTCCAGTCAGGACACGTGAGAGCTGTGTCCCCGGGACTGGAAAGCAGAGGGACGTCATCTTCGGGCGTTAGACACGGGGGAGCAAGTCTAGGGAGAGACACTGAGTCTTCCCTCAGGCTTGAGTCTGAGGTGCCCACGCACACCCTGGAGAAGGCAGGCAGACGGAGGGCGGCCTCTTCTTGCTTTCCTGGCCTGGCCCCCAACCTTTGCGCATTCACCTTTGTAGCCGCAGCCTGAGGGGCCTCCCAGCCTTCGCTGTCATCGGCAGCAGTGTCCCAGCTTGGTGGGCTGCCCACCCAGCCAACTCCTGCCCCCTGGGCCCCAACACTGCTGCCCCACCTGTGCCGGTGAGTCCCGGGGATCGGGGTAGGTAAGATAGGAGGGTGGAGATGCACCCTCAGAGTGATGCAGGAAGGGCCAGCCAGCTGTGCTCCCTGGCCCCAGCCCCAGGCCTTTGCTGACTCCAGTGACTGTTCTGGGGGCCCTTGTCCTGCTAAGTGGGGTGGACACAGCCCAGTGGCAGCTGGGAGGAGTAGGGTGAGCTGACGGGAATTCCAGGCTCTCTGAAGCTGGACGTGTTTGTGGAACACTTCGCCCAGCAGGTGGCGCTGCAGGGTGGCAATTGTGCCAGCTGCATGCTCTTTGGGGCTTGTGAGATATGGATTAGAGGGGCCACTGCCCCCCAGATAGGGAGAACTGTTCTGGTTTTTTGTTGTTGTTGTTGTTTTTGTTTTTTGCCTTTTTGAGACAGGGTCTCGCTATGCAGTTCAGGCTGATTTTGAGCTCACTTTGTAGCCCAGACTGGTCTTGAACGCACAACGATCCTCCTGCCTCAGCCTCCTGAGTGTTGGGATTATAGTGTATGCCACCACACCTGGCATTATTATTATTATTATTATCATTATCATCATCATTATTATTATTTGCTACCAGAAATTGAACTCAGGACCTTGCGCTTGCCAGGCAGGTGCTTATGCCACTGAGCTATATCCCTGGCGCTCTGTTTTTTGTCATTTGTTTTCTTTTTTTCTTTAGAATGAAGATTTACAATGATTGAGGGGGGAGAATCTCATTTAACTTCCCCAATTACTCAGTGAAAATTACCCCTTTATACAGATGAAGCAATTGAGACAGAGAGGTTGGTTATTCTGCTCGTGATGGTACAGGCATTGGGTGCTAGGGCCGGGATGAGATTCTGGGCTGCCTTTTTGTACTTCCTGTGCTGCTTTCACCAGATTATATGAAAGGAAGTAGGAAGTGGCAGTGGGAGCAGGCCAGGCAGCCTGGCTTGCTTAGTGACCTCAGACTGAGGGAGCTACACTGTCAGTTTCCATTTCCTGCACCTTAGCAGCATAGCAAAGTTGCTTTTAAGAAGCCCAGCTGAGTGTGGTGGCACACACTCTAATCTCAGCACTCTAATCCCAGCACTATAATCCCAGGAGGCTGAGGCAGGAGGATTGCCATAAATTTAAGGCTAGCCTGGGCTACATAATGAGACCTTGCTTCAAACACACACACACACACACACACACACACACACACACACACACACACAAAGAAAGAAAAAGAAAAGAAAAACAAAAAAGAAAAGAAAGAAAGAAGCCCAAACTTCTCTTTTTTAAGTGAAAGGGAAAGAGGATATGTCGTCCCTGGAGTCAAGATGCCTAGGATATAGGTATGCCTTGGTCCCAAGAACTCTGAGGACAGAGCTGGAGGTGTGACTCCAGCTCCCTGTGTTTTCCAGCCCCCTTCCATACCGGCTTCTTGTCTTCACAGAGGCACTGAGCAACTGCACAGAGGGCCTCCTGGGGTCTGAGCTGGCCCCGCTAGACCCCTGCTACACTTGCCATTGCCAGGTGAGCCCTCTGCCTCGGGAACTGTCCTCTGTGGGCTGTGGCTGTGATCCTCTGTGACCTTCTCTTGTTTGCCCGCAATGTCCCCTCCTGCCTATGTCCTACCCCTTCCTATATCTTGCTAACTCCTTGAGATCTGCTGTCTCCACCCATGGTGTTCATGTGACAATGGGCAGGACCTGACGTGGCTCTGCATTCACCGGGCCTGTCCTGAGCTCAGCTGTCCCCCTTTGGAGCGCCACACACCACCTGGGAGCTGTTGCCCTGTGTGCCAGGGTAAGTGCCAATCCTGGCCTCACCCTCACGGAGGAGCCTCAGAGGGAGACAGGATGTGGCGGCATTCATGGGCCCAGCGTGAGGCCCGGGCTCTGCACTCTGCATGTAGGTTTCACCCTTGGAGAAACACAGGAGCCATTTGTTGTGGAAGAGAGGAGACCTACGAGGCAGAGGGAGGGAGGTCAGTGCAGATTTTCAAAGCCTGGACGGAGGGTCTTCACGGGGCTCATAGACCCCGGGTCCAGTGGGCACTGCAGTGTGGCGGGGACAGCAGCCCCAGAGGCAGGCTCCATCCAAAGGACTGGTGCAATGTCCAGCCCTGGCCAGGCTTCCTGGATGTTGGCTGAGGAAATCACCCCCAGGTGGTGGACTGGCCCAGGCCTTTCCCTGCTGGGAAACAGAGTGAGTCCAGAGAGGGAGACGCAAGTGGAGGGACAGGGCCAGGTCGTCCCGTTCTTTCTCCCCAGAATGTGTGGTGGAGGCTGGGGGCCGGAGAGTGGCAGACGGAGAGAGCTGGCGGGACCCCAGCAATGCCTGCATTGCCTGCACCTGCCGGGTAATCTGGGGAGAGGTGGAGTGCAGACCCCATATGGGGGTAAAGAGCAGAGGGCCTGACATTCCCCCACAAATATGCAGTTCTTGGGGAGCAGGGGTGTCCTGACGAGGAGCTGGGGGCTGGATTTCATTTCCCACCTGAACCGTGAGGGTTGGGAGCAGACAGGGGCCTGCTGCCAAGGCCCTGCCCCAAAGGCGCCCCAGCCTGTAAGGCCAGGGCCCCAGGCCCTGCGGGAAATCCCTAGAGCCGTGGCATCTGTCCTCAGCGGGGCCATGTGGAGTGTCACCTGGAGCAGTGCCGGCCCCTCTCCTGCCCCCATGGCTGGGTCAAGGTGTCCAAGGACGGGAGCTGCTGTGAGACATGCCAGGGTGAGGCGCCAGGAGGGTGGAGGGGGGTGCAGGAGATAGGAGAGGAGTCCCTGACACCTGTTCCTGTCCCCTCAGCCTCCACTCTGTCCTGCGAGCACCAGGGCCGTCAGGTGGCCTCCGGGGAGCGCTGGGGCGTAGATGCCTGCACCAACTGCTCCTGCGTGGCCGGCACCGTGCACTGCCACAGCCAGCGCTGCCCGCCACTGTCGTGCAGCCTGGTGAGCATTGCTGTAAGGCGGTGGGGGGGACACAGCCATCCAAGAGCCACTGCGCCTGCGGGAGGGAGGCTGAGCCGTGTAGCCCCGGAAAGTACCGTTCCTGGCCGGGCCACAGGTGGTGCCCTGACGCCACTTACACAGGGCCAGCACCGCCGTGGGGGTGGAGGTGGAGTGGCTGGGCACCTGGGGCCTGACGGCGTCTGGGGCCGAGGCCAGAACGAGGCCCCTGCCCTGAGTCCTGGCAGCTGCTGCCCCCGCTGCCTGCCCTGGCCCGCTTCCTGCATGGCCTTCGGAGACCCGCATTACCGCACCTTCGACGGCCGCCTGCTGCACTTCCAGGGTAGCTGCAGCTACGTGCTGGTCAAGGACTGCCATGGTGGGGACTTCAGGTGCGCACCCTTCTCCTTCCGCCTGACCCTCCCATCCAGCCCTTCTGACCATGGCACCCAGGTCTCTCTTGCCCATAGTGTGCACGTCACCAATGATGGCCGGGGCCGGAGCGGCGTGGCTTGGACCCAGGAGGTGGCAGTGCTGTTGGGCGCTGTGGCGGTACAGCTGCTGCAGGGCGGAACTGTCATGGTGAGCTGAGGACCCAGGGAAGGGCTGCCCGGCACTGTCCGCTCATCTGCCCCACATCGCCCCTCCCCCTCCTCCCCCAGGTGGACGGGCGCCCAGTGGCCTTGCCCTTCCTGCAGGAGCCACTGCTATATGTGGAGCTGCGGGGACGAACTGTGATCTTGCATACCTGGCCTGGGCTTCAGGTACGGCCCAAAGGGGAGACTGGCTGGGGCTGGTTTCCCTAAGGGAAGACCTGACAGCCCGGGGCCTACTAGGCTGTGTGTGTTAGAGGGAGTAGGATACCATTTACCTCTGGGCCCAGTGAGGCAGCAGAGTAAGAGGGTACAGCTGGATTCCCAGGGAAGAAATTCAGGCCAGAGACCAATGGAAGCACAGGAATTTGAGGCCTGACTTTGTTTTGTTTGGTAGTGCTAGGGATCGAACCTAGGGCCTCACATATGCTAGGCTACCACTGAGCTACACCCAAGGTCCCTGGTTTTAATCTTGACTCAGCCACCTATATGTTAGAGCAACTCGGGCAAACCTCTGAGGCTCAGTTTTCTCATCTGCAAAGTGGGGAGAGGGCAAGTAGTGGTGGAGAAGATGTCAACTCAGGTCTCCTGGGTGGTGTGTAAGGTTCCTCCCAACCCCATGTGGAAGAGTGACTTGCTCTTTAACCCAGTCAGAAGCACAACTTTATGAAATCAGGCTGTGTGCGCTTCTGACCCAGGATGTAACTGTACAGCCCGAGTATCCAAGAGACAGTGAATCTCAGAAGAGAGTAGCATTGCATGGCCCAGTGAGGGGTGCCGATGGAGAAACTGCCCTCACTTGGGAGCTGTGGGCAGCTCTGTTGTCACCTGTGTTTCCCCAGGGCTGTGCCATGGGTAGTGACGTGGCCAAGGCCAGGGCAGCATCCCTCCTGTGAGGGACCTACTCCTGCCCATCTTCCCTGCCATGGCACAGGCCATGCGGACACACGCAGGCCCATGGTGGACGCTGGGCACCTCGGGGTCCCTCTCTTTCCCTGCACCCCAGTCCTAGGCCTCTCTGCACAGGTGCTGTGGGACGGGCGGTCCCAGGTGGAGGTGAGGGTACCTGGCTCCTACCGGGGCCGCACCTGTGGGCTCTGCGGGAACTTCAATGGCTTTGCCCAGGATGATCTGCAGGGTCCTGACGGGCTGCTTCTGCCCACAGAAGCTGCATTTGGGAATAGCTGGCAGGTGAGCTGCGTAGGGGCCATAGCTGGGGCAGGCTGAAAGAGCTGAGCTCAGCGGGGCGTGAGTCCCAGCACAGCCTCTGGAATGGAGGAAGGCCCAAGATGGGCTTTGGGGCTTTCAGGGAGCTGTGGGGCTCCATGCCTGTGGCAGGCAGTAGGTTTGCCTGACGCAAGAAGCATCAACAACGGAGGCCCTAAGTCCTGCATTGCCACTTATTGGCTGCGTGACCTTGGGCAAGTTACTTACTTTGGTTTCTTCATCTATAAAATGAGGACAAGGAAAAGCTAGATGAGATCTTCTTTGCTCTTCTTAAAGGTAGTTTTTTGTTTTGTTCTTGTTTTTTGTTCATTTTGTCTTTTGAGACAGGGTCTTACTCTGTAGTTTAGGCTGGCCTTGAACTCACTATGTAGCCCAGGCTGGCCTTGAATTCATGGTGATCTTCCTGCTTCAGCCTCCCAAGTGCTAGGATTACAGGTGTGCACCACCACATCCAGTTTAAAGGGAGTTTTTTGAGGGTAAAGCAAATGATTGGGTGCAAAGCACTGTGATGATACAGCACACAAAGATCAGCTGCCGGAGCTGTTGTCCCACTGGGGTTGTTCTCCCGTGTAGGTCCCGGATGGGCCGGGGCCTGGCCAGCCCTGCACTGCAGGCCAAGAAGTGGACCCATGCCGGGCAGCAGGGTACCGTGCCAGGCGTGAGGCCAATGCTCGGTGTAGGCTGCTGAAATCCTCCTCATTCAGCAGCTGCCATGCTGTGGTGCCACCAGAGCCCTTCTATGCTGCCTGTGTGTATGACCTGTGTGCTTGTGGCCCTGGCCCCTCGGCCGATGCCTGCCTCTGTGATGCCCTGGAGGCCTATGCCAGCCTCTGTCGCCAGGCAGGCGTGACACCTGTCTGGAGGGAGCCTACCCTGTGCGGTGAGGGGGTGATGAGGTTGCAGGTTGGGGGGGGATGGTGCCGAGGGGAGGGGTGGCCCCGGGGGCTCAGGTTGGCGTGGGGTGGGCTCAGGGAGAGGCCTGCAAGATGAGAGTATGGTGACCCGAGCCATGTTGGGGGACCCCTGTGACCCTGCCTTCCATTGTACCTGCAGTGGTGGGCTGCCCCCTGGACCGTGGCTTCGTGTTTGATGAATGTGGCCCCGCCTGTCCCCGCACCTGCTTCAACCAGCACGTCCCCCTGGGGGAGCTGGCAGCCCACTGCGTGAGGCCCTGTGTGCCCGGCTGCCAGTGCCCGGCAGGCCTGGTGGAGCATGAGGCCCACTGTATCCCCGCTCACGCCTGCCCCCCAGTCCTGCTCACAGAGACCCAGCCACTTAACACTTGGCCCAGCCCCGGCCAGGAGCAGCCCCTGGCTCCTCCCTGAGCTAGGAAGACACCCGACCAGCACTCCTCGGGCCAGAAGCCTTCCCGTGGCGAGTAGCAGCCACCCCCGCCAGAGCTGTGGGGACAACGCCCTGCTTGGGCTCTGGGAGCCTGGACCCCTGTTCTGTAAAGAAATACGGCAGTAAACTCTGGGCCTACTCAGGACTCCCGCGTGTGAGTTTCTCCCGGCACTACGGTGGTGGGCGAGCTGCTGGGAACATGGAGCTAGCAGTCAGCGTCCCGAGTCAGAGGGCCTCGCTCAGCCCTCATGCCCACATCCCAGGCTGCTCCAGCCAGCCACTCTCTGATGCTCTCTGGGAAACCTTGACGTGGGCAGGAGGACCCAGGTGTCCTGGTCCCTGTCCTATTTGGTTTGTAGCAGGCATGGCCCAAGCAGCCACCAAAAAGCTGCTCAGTCCGGACACAGCTCCCCTTTCTTTCCTCATGGTTGGGGGTAGTGAACACTCAGATGCCTTCTGGGCCACTCCATGAGCTGGTGATGGCAGGGACCCATGTCTGGGGGAGGGAGGGAGGGAGCGCACACTGTGATGAAATAGAGAGACACCTACAGTGTGTTCCTGCACACCTGCCTGCACCCTAGCCACACCCACAGTAGGTGCATGTGCAGCCGGTGAAGGTGTAGGGGAGAGGACATGGGTTTCCAAATGGAAAATTTCAGAATTTGAGTTTCCCTTGCCATGTACCAGCTGTGTGCCTTGGAGTTGTACAGACTATGGCTAAAGATTAGGGGGGACTCCATTGTTTTATTGGTCCCTACAACATGGACTGAGGGCTCAGTGTTCCAGGGAGGACTTGGCCAAGCCCTTTATTGTTGACGTAAGCAAGAGCATGCTGAGTTGAATTGAAGGTCTCTTGCTCCACCAGCTCCGTGCTCTTTGGGGGAGGCTGTTCTCACTGGGGGCCCAGAGAGGAGAGTTTGCTCCATGCTGTCACAGAGCGCTGACAAGGCTGCAGGAAGGCAGAGCTGCTGATGACAGCACAGGAGGTAGATTTCAGGACTGTATCAGGCAGCTTTCCATTACTGTCATGAAATACATGAGACAATTCATTTTTAAAGAGCATGGGCCGGGGATGTAGCTCAGCAGCATAAGCGCTTGCCTGGCAAGCCTGAGGTCATGAGTTTGATTCCTGGTACCAAAGCAAAAAAAAGAGCTGAGGTTTATTTTGGCTCCTTGTCCTAGAGGTTCCCTTCTAAGATCAAGCAGCCTGTTGCTTTAGGCCTCTGCTGAGGGCACACCATGGCAATGGCAGGGAGTGTGTGTCAGGGCCTGTTGCACCTGTCATGAGGTAGGAACCAGGGCACGGACAGAGTACGCGGCTGGTGAAACAAGAACCGCCCCTCAAGCCCCATCTCCTAAAGGGTCACCCTCAGAACCAAGCCTTTGACAGTGGCCTTTGGAGAACACTCAACAGCCCAGATATCTCCTACGTCCTTTCCCTGCCCTTCTTATAACGTACACAAACGATCTCCTCATCTGTGAAATGAGGACGGCAACACCACACTTCGAGCGGGAGGCAGGGCTGGGCTGACCTCACACAGCACGGAGCAGGCAGCCCGGCCCCGCTCGCCGATGCCCCGCCTCTTGTGCTCACACTGTCTCCTCTCTGGTCTCGAACAGACCCACCTCCTGGGGCTGTGTTTTCCCAGAGCCTGTCACGGTCATCCATGTCCAGGTGAAGGAAACACAGCTGTACGCTAGGGCAAGTGGCTCTCTGGAGCCAGTCTGCTATCTGCAAACCAGGATGACAACAGCACCTACTTTCTGCGGCACAGGGAGGAGGGGTTCCATGGAGAGGGTTGTCCAACCTGCCAGGAGCCGCCACTACCGCTGGCTACATGGGGCACAGTTGCAGCGTGCCCACGTGACAGTTACAGAGCTCTCATGTGTACGTGTATGTAAGGTCCTCACTGCGGGCTGTGAAGCAGCCGGCACATGCCTCCGCCAAGGTCACACTCAGTGCTCCACATCGCCACCTCCAGGCCGAGAAACCTGTCTAGGAGTCTAGACGGGTCTAGGATGTGTAGCCTGGCATCCGTGAGGGTCAGGTGCTGCTAGGCCCCGGCTCAGGTGTCAGGGGCCTGCATTATTGAGATCAGAGCCTTTGTTCCACCTTGCTCCTGGTCCTCCACCTCTTTCCAGGCTCTGGTGGCAGAGGCAGAGGAGGAAGCGGACCTCTGCCTTGACTCCTTCCCCATGGCGCAAGCAGCCACTCCTGGGGGCCCAGGGCTCCCTTGTAGCCCCGAGCAGGCCTTGGCCCTGTACCAGCTCCTCTTCCGGCGCCCTGCAGACCTGGGCCAGCTGCGGGCTGCACTGCGGCAGGTGAGGAGGCTGGGTATTGCCTCTGAGGGGGTGGGCAGGGGCCTAATGCTTTCTTCCTGCCCAACCCAGGTACAAGAGGGCCAGGACTGCCCCCTAGGGCTGGCACTGCCCACTGTGCTGCTGGAGATGGAGCGGAGCCAGCGGGCCAAGGAACAGGTGGAGTGACCTGTGAAGGGTGGGTGGCAGAGGACAGGGCCCCTGCCCCCTCACACCCTGGCTCCCCACCTTCCTACAGCTCCTCTGGGACCTGGAGCTGCTGACTGGGGCAGGCCTGGGCCTCTTCTGGCCCCCCTGGACCTGTTTCTGGCGTCAGAGGCACCAGGTCCAGCACGCATGGAGCCCATGCAGTCCGCCCCTTGGTAGGACGGGTGGGGACTCTGAGCAGGAGGTGAGTGAGCAGGGGCACGTGTGAGCCACTGGCTGCCTGAGTCACAGTAAGTGGTCAGTAGCAGCTCTGGGCCGTGGCAGCTACAGGACGGCGGCTTGGCGGCGATCACTAAGGGAGGGTCGGGCCAGGGCCGCAGTTTCCTCGCAAGGCTCCAGTGAGCAGGAGGGAAGTGTTCTGAGCACTTTCCATGGAGAGGAAATGGTCACCCAAGAGCCTGAGTACCAGAAGGCAGGACCTTGGGGTAGGGGCTGCCCTCCACATTGGGAGTGCTGTCCTGTGGACCTAGGTTCCCCACCCTTTCAGGGTTCCAGGCTGTGCCCTTCACCCCCGGCTGAGGACGCCCGAAGCCAGAACCATCAACTCACAGAAGGGTGCGTCTCTGTCTTAGGAACCCTATATTCCCTCTGTGTTGCCTCACAAAGTGGCCCAGGACCTGGACCTTTCCTGTCCGTCTCCTTCGCAGTCCTGCCCCCTGCCCCTACTCATGTCTCTGGCTCTTTCCAGGCCCTCCGTTGCACACACGGTTGGCCCACTGCGCCTGGTAGGGTGGCCCCTGAGTTTCAGTCCCAGGATCTAGCTAGTACAAGGCTTGGGAGAGGCCACCCTGAACTCGGCGTTTAGACGCTGGCTGGTGGGGACTTGGGAGAGTGGCAGCCAGGCCCCCTCCCTACTTCTGAGCCCAGGAGCCACCGGAGCTGCGCCTGAGGCGGCCCCTGGACCCCTGCAGGGGGCAGGCACCAGGCCCATCATCTGCATCGTATCTGGGAGAAGCCAGGAATGACACAGACCCAAGGCAGAAAGGCTCTGGCACACCTGAAAAGGCCACAGCTGGTATGTGGACAGGAGGGGTCAGGCAGCCAGGACAGCAGGGAGCCCCTGGAGCTGGAGAAGTCAGACTAGGTTGGAAGGCAGGGCCCTTCTCAGCTCAAGTCCAAGGACTTCTGTCATTCTTCAGGGTCTCACTATGTAGTTCAGGCTGGCCTTGAACTCCTTATGTAGCCCACACTGGCCTCAAACTTGTGATCCTCTTGCCTCAGCCTCCTGAGCACTGGGATTATAGGTGTGTGCCACCAAACCCGACAACCGTAAGTTTTAATTCTTCTGTCACACGCAGGAGAGTGCCAATATTCTTTTCTGATTGACAGAAGCTTTTGCAAGTATTTTATCTCTTGGGAAGACAGTTATTAATTACACCATCACCTGGGAAATAGACTCTCTAGTAAGACAACAGGTCAGCATCCCAGAGGGAGGGGTGGGAGGTTGTTTTCAGAATTCATGGCCATCATTTCTAAAGGCTGGGAGTCTTACCAGCTCCTTTGTTCAAAAAATCTTTGAAAGATCTATTTTCACAGAGAACATACCCATTTTGTTAAAGTTATGAATATTCACATGCCTCGTTATTGCCTCATGATATTCTTGTGAGAGCTCTCAATTTCAGACCTTTTGAAATCAGGTTCGATGAACTAATTTTATGGATGCAGAACAGCTCTCTTTCCTGCACAGCTGCAAGGCAGCAGCGACAGCATCTCTTTTTTTAGATTTCTTTTGTTAATGAGAAACACTTGCGGTTTCTAGGCCGGGCTCAGCTTCCAATTTCATTTCTTAAATTTTGTTTGAGTTTGGGGTCAGAAACAAGGGGCTAAGGAGGATTTTCCTTACTAACAGGAAAAAGTATGGCATGTGGTATTTTTTTCTAAGGGCCTGAATTGCCACATTAAGACAAAGTGGGGTGTCCTTGTAGAGAGGCCCCAGAAAATGAGCTCTTCTTGTTCCCAGGCAAACTACGGTGGTCTTGGGGGAAGAGGATCTGCAGGATACCCTAGGGTGGTCTGCCCTGGCTGGGAGGAGGAGGAGATGGGGTCAGCTGTTGGCAGGCGCACCTGACAAGCAGGTGCATGACGGGCTGTGCGAATACAGGTGGGATAATGAACTGTGACAACCATGAAGTTCAAACAGCGCCCTTTCCCCTACCCTGGGCTTCTCAGGTCCAGTTCAGGGCAACCTGTGTGAGCGGCTGTGGCATGATGGAAAGCTCTCAAAGCTGGTCTTTCTCCCTCAGGTTGCTTACAGGAGATGAGTCCTACCACCAGCAGGTGCTCTGAAGAGCCAGGAAATTCAGTGTTCAAGGTGAAAGGGTCAAAGGGATCTGGGCAAGGCCTCTCTCAGGTTAGGACAGTTGGGGTGGGGTTGGCCTGGGAGGAGGTTGCTGGTGTGGAGTGGGGCTGCCTCCTGCAGCCAAGTGGAAGAAGGGATTGTCACTGAAGAACTTTCACAACACGTGAAATGGCCTCAGCAAATTCAGACATCAGGCAAGGACCAGCCCCTGGGGTGCCCTGGCTCCCTGCGGACAGGGCCCTACACAGGCACTGGGAGCAAGCCTGGACCCAGGTGCTCTCTCCCGTCCCAGGACTTGGCCCAGAGGGAAGAGGCAAGCCAAGCAGAGTCTACTGTCCAACGACCCTGCTCAGCCACACCCAGCAGCCCACAGGGAAGAAAGCTCAGTCAGGAAGCCGCAGTGCCCTCTGGCCTAGCTTCCCAGGGCCTGCTAGCACCCCAAGATGCAACCAAGGGTCTGGGCCTGGACGGAGAGCGATCAGAACCTCAAAAACTGCGGCTGCTGGACCCTCCTCAGAGTCTGAGAGAGGCGGTCCCTGGGGGTCAGAGCGGGGAGGCGTCCCACAGGCAGAAGAGAGAAGTCCCTCCGAGTCAGGGAGAAAAGCCACCTCGGAGCCAGAGAGGGGAAGACCTCCGCGGTCAGAGAGAAGAGGCACCCCAGGGAGAGAACACGAAGTGCCGGCCAGAGGAGGCTCCGCAGGCTCCGGAAATGAAAACTCGGCAGGCGTGGGAAGGCCACATCTCAGCAGCCTGGGAGGCGGCTCGGGGAGAAGCAACTGCCCATCCCCGGGAGGAGGGCGATCCCCTGGGCCAGCGGAGGGACTTCCCTAGGTCCGCGGGAGAACAGCGCCCCCCGGGTTTAGCAAGGGGGAACTCAGGCCCTCGGGGAAGGACCACCCAGCGGACGCGGGGCAAGACCAACAGCCAGAGTCAGGAGTCGGCTGGGCCAACGCTGGGGGCCCCCCAGGAGGCTTGGGCTCCTCTCCCGGGCCCAGGAGCGGGGATGCTGGCGACACGGAGCACCGGGGGCGCTGGGCGGCCCGAGCTCCCTTCGGCAGTGCCGGAAGGGGGCCGCGGCCGGGCGCACCAGGCAGTGGGCGCAGCGAGTTTGCCGGGTGCGCTCGGGGAGCGGAGGGGCGAAGCTGGGGGCGCCCCCGCCCCCAAGGCCCCGTGGCCGGCGCCCGCAGGCGTGAGCGCGGCGCAGCAGGATTCAGCTCTGCGGCGGCTGCTGGAGCTGCACGGCGCGGCCCGGAGACGGCGGCGGCGGGACCGCGAGCAGCAGCGGCTCCGGGTGCGTCCCCGCGAGCCGGGGGCTGCCTGCGCGCGGGAGGGCGGGACGCTGAGGCCGAGCGGGGCTCACTGCTGCCTCCCCAGGTGCTGGAGCGGCTCCGCATTGCCGGGAACCGCCAGTGCCGGGTCCACCCGCTGGGGCTCCCTCCCAGGCCCGCAGAGCTCCAGACTCAGGCAAGAGCCCGGGAAGGCGGGGCTTAGCGGGAGGGGGCGGGGCGGAGCGGGAGGGGCGAGGCGGTCCCCACCGAATTCCGCCCACCCAGGAGGACGCGGCCGGATGGCAGCGTGCATTGCGGGAACAGCTGGACCAAGTGCACCGGGAGAGGACCGGGCGGCTGAGGGCCCTTGGGGCCAGGTGAGGGCCGGGCAAGGAGGGTTGGGGGTGATGGAAGGGGGTCCCCCCCATCTGACTGACAGGCCACTCTGCTCCCCTAGGAACACCCATAACTTCCTGGAGCTGCTGTGGCCCCCAGGCACTAAGGACCCTGCGCCTGGAGAATAGCCCCACCCTGCCCCGCCCCCTCTCGTCATTGCTGCGTCCCCAAAGGGATGATAAAGGAGATGAGCGTTAAGGGAGAAGAGGGAGGTCGGAGGTAGTTCCTGAAAGGACCAGAATACAGCCTCAGGGCGCAGACAGCAGACACCACACACACGTCTCTGCCACTAGAGTCCTGTTATTTATTCTTCCCTCCTCTAAGCCCGCTGCCTTGCCCGGGTCAAAGGGCCAGGTCCCGGGGGTCCAGCAGGGCGAAGGCCCCGTTCTTGCGGAAGAAAGACTCAATACGGCACATCTTGCAGGAGACCAGTTCTTGCTTCACTGGAGGGCCTGGGAAAAGATGTCAGAGGCCAGCAGTAGGTTCCCGGGGAAAGGACTCACCATAGGAGCCCTGTCTGTCTATGTGGTATTGTATCCACTCAGTGTGAAGAGATAAAAAGAACTTCTAAGGAGCAGGGGCTACAGGCAAATGCAGGCTGGACACTGAGTACAGCAGGGAGGGCGGCATGGCCACCGGCTCTCTGCCATGGGCACCCCAGCCCTGCTGTCACAGGGACAGACTGCTGCCATGGGGCTTCCCTCTTGCTTTTGTTGGACCCTTAGTCCCCTGTCTGTCCTCTTAGGCCCCTGGGGAAAATGAAGAAAACCAGGTGAAATTCCAACCGTGGTGATTCCCAGCCATTTACCTTTTTTGCACAGGTACCTGAGCAGCTGGAGACACTCATGACTGAGTGACCTCCCCTGAAATTCAGGACCCAGACCAAGGGCCACTCGGCACCTTCCAGCAACCTGGCAACATTCAGTGCCATATTCCCTGCCCCACGCTCTCTCTTTTCACTGAAAATCCTACACTGACTGGGCTGGTTCCCGCCTAGCTAATGACAGTTCTCAGGCACCCAGAAAAATGACTCAGTGTGGAAGGAACGCCTTTCTACTTACACCATGGCTACTGGCCTATGGCCCTGCCCGCCTGCCCTCAAGTGAGATTTCAGCAATTTGAGCTCCCCAAGTGACCTCATTCAATGGCAACGATTTAAAAAGCACTTATGAGCCGGGTGTGATGGCACATGTCTATAATCCCAGCACTCGGGAGGCTGAGGCAGGAGGATCGTTGTGAGTTTAAGGCAAGCCTGGGCTACAAAGTGGGCTCAAGATCAGCCTGAACTGCAAAAAGACAAAACACAAACACCCCCCCCAAATAAATCGCACTTATGTATATTCTAATGACCCCCAAACTTGCTTGTCAGCTCTGGGCTGCTTCAGAGAGCTAGACTTTCATACACAGGCCTCACTAATACCTCGAGCTACCTTGGCCAAATGACCTGTTTTATGCACCCTCTGGCCTGTCCTCGTCTTCCCTACTGAAGAAGCTACAACCAAATATCTGGGCACCGCCTGTGATTTCTCTCTTCCTCTCACATTTCAACCTATCAAAAATTTCCAATGAGTCTTCCACTAAGACATCTAGAATTGACCTCAGCTGTCCTGCCAACCTTCTGATCTGGCGCCACCACCACCTCCAGCCAAGGTAACTCGAGAGAGATGTCCAACTCCCTTGCCAGAGTCTACAACTTCCCCTGAAAAGCCATTACCTACAACACAGGACAACTTTTTAAGTAGATTGGCGTCACACACCTGCTCAAAACCTACCACTGGCTTCCCTTTGAACTATAGAAAATCCAAAGCCCTCGCTCCTTGTCATGTAGCTTTTCCTGACACGCACCTGAAGGAGCATGTCTCCCCTGCCTGCCCACACTTATTCCCTAACCCCTGCAATCAGAGTCCCTCTTGGCCATTTCCTTGCTCTGTGTTCATGGTCTGGAGCCCCCACTGAATGCATACTCCCTGGCACACGGTTGTTATTCCAGGTTTGGGAAGTGACTAGTTTCAGAGGTTGGGGCTCACCCAGCTGCCAGCCGTATGTGAAGTTGGTGGTGATGGGTAAGAGGTAGCGCGTCTCCGGCAGGTCCAGTTTTCGGGTGTTGAGGTAGCGGTGGCGCCCCTGTAAGTCGTGGGAGATGCCTTCATACAGCAGGGCCCGGGTGGCAGGTGGTACTGGGTACATTTCTGACTGAAAAGAAGCCTCTGGGACAGGGCTGGGAGCCTTGGAAGGGACTGCTTTGGGGACAGGTTGGGGTGAGGGTGGGGCTTCAGAGGCCAAGGTGGGCAGTTTGAGGGGCAGGCGGGCTGCAGCCTTGGCCTTCTGCTTGGCCCTCACCAAGGACCCGTACTTGTGGTGCCATTCACAGCGCAACATCTTTTCCCTGAGATATTCCTCCTTCCAGAAATTTTGCCGCTGCGTATCCATGTTGAGCTGCCGCGACATATTAGCAAGGGAAGACTGGCCCAGTACCAGGGTAGATGCAACCAAGGAGTGAACACAGCAAGCAGAGTCCTTCTGCCAGCAGGTGGCTGCCCTGGGACAGTCACCTGGCAACCAAGGCCCACCTCACACAGGGCCAGGGTTCTACTTGGCATGTCCTCAGCAGACCTCACGTGCCACCCTTCCTGAAGGAGCCTGGGCCCCCAAACCTCCCACAGGACCCAGCTCAAGCTGAATTACAGGCGTCCTAGTTTCCTAGGCTTTCTTTTCCGTCCCCAGCCCCATGCAGCCTGATGGGGGGCAGGAGTCTCATTCCCACCCCTGCCCCCCAGCTGGTCCTCTTTGATCCAGACAACCAGTCCTGACTTACAGCCTCTTGGACCAATCTTCCTGGCCCAGCCTTTTTCCAACCTTGGTACTCTAATCTTCTTTAAAGGCCCTACATGTCCTTTCCAAGTACTAAGCCAAGTCTGGAGAGAACCAAGAATATTACTTTACTTTAACATTGACAGTGACACTGTGTAACAGCACGGGGAAGAGGTAGAGGAGAGAGATGGTTGGGCTTCCTGTTCCCTAACCAGCCTGGATTTTAACAGCAGAGCCCCAGTGGTCTAGAAGCATCCATCACCCAGCCAGCAGTGGAGGGGGAGGGGCGGGGCTGGGAGAGGCCTGGCCATGGGGTGGGGGCTGTAGGGCCAGGGGTGGCCCTAGCGCAGGTCTTCGGCAGTGAACATGCCCTTGGCCCTGCGCAGGATGGAGTCCTTTGCGGCGTCGTAGGGGTGCTCCTTGGATGGGATCTCCAGGACCGCGGGAATGGAGCGCTGGTGGGCATCAAGGGCATGCCGAACCATCTCTGCAATGTACTGGTTGATGAGGATGATGCCGATGTCATCCCGGTTTAGAAACTGCCTGTGGGGGGGAGACGGGAAAGGAGCTGAGGGCAGCCCAGGGAGAGGCTGTCTACTGCGCCCACGCAGCTCTCTCCAGGGGCTGGCACTGGACCGTGGCGGGGAATGAGAGGGACCTGGGGCACAGAGGACAAGGGGAAAGGCTGCTACACTGAACTCGCTCGGTCCTGTTTTTTGCCGAGTGAAGCAATTTCACTCAAGAGCTCAGGGCCACCAGTAGTACTAGCACTCTGGGAGGCTGAGGCAGAAAAACTGAAAGTTTTGAGCCCGGCCTAGACAATTGAGCAGCTTTGTAAGACCCTATCCCCTGCTCCAAAACAACAACAAAAGGCTAGTTGAGGATGTAGCTGAGTGCAAAGGCCTTGGGCACAATCCCCAGTACAAACAGGCACACACAGCTGAGGGCCACATTGGTCAAAGCTGGCTTCTACCTCCTGTGTGAAGGAACTGGTAATGAAGATTAGAGTGCTGTGTGTTCTATGTGCTGCCTTTATGTAGGAAAAAGAAAAGACAGGAATGAATGTGTGTCCTTTTGCATCTGCATAAAGACTGCAGAAAGGTATGAAGGAATTGAATGGTTATCCTTATGGGTGGAGGAGAGGGTGAAGAGGTGTGACGGCTGGGGTGGGAGTTACATTCCTTAACATGTACTTGTTTTCTTTCTTTTTGAGACAGGGTCTCGCTGTAGTTTAGTTTAGTTTTTTTGTTTTGTTTTTTTTTTTTTTTGGTTTTT